CAGGGAGCTCAGAAGCACTGCGGCTGTTCTCCAATGCTCACCCCTGGGCACACCAGCCCCAGGGCTACCTGCAGTGACCCCGTCCTCTCCTCCGCAGGGGAATGAGCAGTGTCCCCGCGGAGCCCTGCGGGGCCAGCGAGGCTCCTGGCAGCCCAGCACCCACTGTTTGCCCCGTGGCACCTCCTCACACCACGCGATGCTCCTTCGGGGAACAAATCTGCAGGCATTTCTGCAGCTCTCTGTATCTTTCTGGTGATCTCACTTCCATCTCCTACTCTTCTTCCTAAAAGACTGTCCATGCTAGATCTCAACACACTTCCACTTGTGAGAATTTTTCCAAACTGAACCAAAGGAGACCCCTTTTATTAGCCACACAGCCTTGAAGATCATATTGTCTTCCAAACAGTTCTTTGATAATCCAGAAAGGATTTATGTAGTTTCCTCCAGTTCCTTGCACTGCTGCAATCACAAGCCTGAACGAAAAAATGACTTAAAGAGACTGAATATCTAGTAGATGAACTAGGAAAAAAAAACAGAGCATTCAAAGGTCACTCCTGGCAGGTCTGGATGCAGACTCAGCAAGATGGGAACCCATCTAACCTTCAAGAGACCAAAAAAGAAACCACTCACAGATTTGGGGTTGAGCTGCAAGAGAGATGTGGGACCTAATGACAGAAAGAAAACTCAAACCAGAACAATAACGCAGAGCTTTGCATTCCCAAGGCCACCAATCACTCACTATCCTACTCACTTCCAAGAGGGGATCCATGCAAGAGCAACCAGATCTAGGTATTCTTCTTTGCTCCTCTCAAAAATAAAGCTTGTGGGTTTAAGCCTTGCTGCACCTTGGTTGTCTTTGCAGAGAGAGGAGGAATTGGAAAGAAAGAGAAAGCTTCCCTAAAGCTCCTATATCTAAACCAAATATAGCCACACACTATTAAAAACAGACAACACAAGATCAACAGAGCACAGAGAGAAGTTCAGCATGCAAAATCTGACAAGGTTTTCAGAGAAGAAAAATATTTACGGTCCAATTGACAGTGATTTGGGTAAGGAATCCAGTCAGTTTCTCAAGGCTGCCATGCAATTCCGAGAAAAAGATCTCAGGACTACTGAACACAATTGCCTACCACGGCTTTTTTTTGTAACAGGTTAACAACTGATCTTTAGTATAACGTAATAATGGGACAGATAAAAATAAGATCAAAACATATGACTCAAAGTCCCCAGATCTGCAATGGCAACAGATAAGGAGGACTCTGATTGAGAAATTCCTGCATTCCTAAGCTGTCCCAGCCACCAGGAAAGCAGCCATACAATGGCTCATAGTACGGGGGCCAATCTTAAAATATTAGTATTACAACACAATGCTTTTCAAGCTGAATTCTTGTAGCTGTGGCATGCGGGGAGCTAGAAATAGAATACTTTGGATTTCAGATCACACATGTGGAGATCAGCCAGTGAAAAACACCAAGAGCAAAGTGCCAGAGAGCACTGCAGTAAAGCGCTAGGAAAACTGCAACATTATATATATATATATAATATATAAAGCCCACATGCTTGTAAACAGGGGAAACAGTACACCAGCTTCTTTCCCAAAATAAGACTTTGTCACTCACTCACTCCCCAGGGCAGCTTAGGAGCCAGGACACACTCAGATGCTGGGAGAGATAACACCTTACTCCTCTTTACAGCAACAGCCAACATCAGATTACCTGGGAACACACTTATTTCAGATGAGATCTACCTTTGTGCCGAGCAAAGTCAGGCAGGTCATTTCTTAGACTAAAATAAAGAGTACCTTATACCTCGCTGCATTATTAAACATGAGCTGAATTCAAGAAAGCTAAAACCTATCCTGTACAATTTGCAGGCAAAGAGATTTGACAGTACTGGTAGAGATTCATGGTCTGTTGACAGGACAGAAAACTGTTCCATTTCCAGAAGCTTTTTATTAATTTATTTTTAAATAAGCAATGCTTTTTATAAGACAAGCCTTTTTGCAGACTCATCAGGAGTCATGTTTATTCATATTTTAAGAGGTTTAAGCAACAAGGGAGGGGAATATGCTGCAGAGCGCTCTCCGATTTAAAATTTCTTCTCTGGCAGCATGGAAGGAAAACAGATTTTTATTTTGTAACTGTGGGCAAAGAACATTAATGAATGGGCTCACAAACAAACCCTCCAACTTTCAGCCTAAACACCAGAAAAAGTTCAGACCTACCAGATTCATCTTCCACGACAGTCCAAGTACTTATATCCTACCACATTTGTCTTTTAATCATCTCCTCCTAAGTCTCAATTCGAAGTTTGAACTAAGAATGCTTTGCTCCTGTCCCAAACTGAGCTTCGAATCCCTGTGCCCAGCTAACCACTGAACTTCTCAGAGAGCAGACCTCTTCCTTTAAATGAATTAAACTATTCCGTTGCCAGCAGCACTAGCTGCCCATTGCACCCTACTGCAATAGCAGGGACCCAGGTCAGGGTAGAATCGCACAGGGCTCGCCAAGCAAGTCTGCTGTGCTGAAAGGCTGATGCGGTAGGGAGGGAATGATTAAAAACAGCAAGTGTGTTTACTTTCAATGCCATAGTAAAGAGCAACATGCAATTCAACTCTTCCCCCTTAATTTGTACATTCTCATGGGAATCTGGCAAGGTTGCCCTGAGGAAGAGTTTGAAGAACTCTTGCAAAAGACTCTGGGCTCTGCCAGACTGAGCGGGCTATCAGTTATTTACATTCATTTCAAAAGCCACAAAGGAAGGCATTTATTTCCACCATATCTGTGATTTCAAAGAGAAACTGGTTAGGACAAAGCTGGCTCTGCTATCAGGGCTTGTCCATACAAACCACCCAGCATAGATATTCTGGAGCAAAACCCTGCAGCTCGAGCTATCCTGAGTTAATTCACTACCACAGAGACTATTTCCGAGGGAAAAAAACAAAAGGTGATTTCAGGAGGGAACACACACACACACACACACACACACACACACACACACACACACACACGAGGAAATCATCCTGGAACTGCGGCAATGGGAAGTTTCCTCATGCAGACAAGGGAAGCCCTCCAACTACCCAGGAAAGCAATCCCTCCTTTGTACCTTCCAAGACACCCAGAAAAATTTAAGAAGCCTCTTTTAGGCAATTTTTTTTTCTTTTCAAAGTAAGAAACAGTATTTGGCACAGCCACACATGCAGGATTAAAATGAGTACCTACCTCTCCCTGCAGTTAAATAAAAGGACTTCTTTGTTAACACACAGGACTGTGTTTCATCTCCTTCAGACAGGAGAAAATAAAGTACCCAAAATGATTTTCACGCCTTAGACACATTGCTACAAACAAAACAGTTCAGATTTCACTAGAGGTTAAGCACATGGGCATGCCATCTCCTTGGGTCTGAAGGACTGGGGAAGAGGGAGCTGGGGAAAAACGCTCTACTCGCACGTGCAGCAGAGTTTCCTTTAACCACCCAGCAGTTAAGTGACGTAACTTCGTTTCAGATCCGAGCTGCGGGTTCTGTAGCTCCAGACCACAGATTCATCTCTTCTTCCAACAGCTCAGAACCGAAGGAGGAATCCCCATCTCTACACAGAGGTAGAAGGGTGTTAAACTAAATATTTTCCTCTACTTCTTACTGAAGAGATTAGAACAACACATTTGCTTTTATTTGTGAAGATGAAATAGAGATCATAAAACCAATGGTATAATCCCCTAAATCACAGAAATTGTGTTCAACAAGAAACAGCTCAAGTGCCATGCTGTCCAGGCTCAGTGCGTGGATTGAATAGTACATGGAAATTTAAGGTAGAGTTTATTACCTAGAAAGACCATAAATGCCATTTACAAAGTTCTACTTGAGATAACTTTTGCAGCTCATAAAAGGTTAACTTAAATATGCTCCATTAGCCGCACAGCGTGTCAATGCCACCATAAAGATCCCTCTTTCAGTCTGGTTATCTCCCAGGGACTGAGCTGCTCAGCAGTACTTTGATCAGAACTCCACGGGTATGATCAGCCCCATGGCACTCACATTACCTCAGGCAGTACAGAAATATTTGATATTTACTATTTGTTTGAGTACTTTCCTGCACAAGATATAGAGTCTGCACAATTACTCTGCTTGAAAAAAAGGACACATTTAAAAAGCAATATTTTCTTCCTCTCCCATAAACAAACGTTTGGGAATTAGGTAATGGAAATTAAGGTAATGCGAAAGGTAATGGGAATTAAGATGCACTTGTCAGGTCAGTACCTCCCACCGTTAGGATGACACTGGAAAGCCTCAGTCCTATTTGGAAGCAGCTAATGCAAGGCCAGCGAGAGGAGAAAAGGATGAGGACTTACACAGCTCCAACCGTTGTGGCACAGGGAGCCTAGGTAAGGAGGTCTGCAACCCCAAAGAACAGCACTAACAAGCACGCTCAAACATATTTTCAGACTCATGCAGAAAGAGCACCCTGCAACTATTTACAAGCTACAAGACCAGAGTGTCAATTGAAATAGCTGGAGCAGGGAATGGAAGTCACCCGGGCAGACCTATGAATGGAGTTAAAAAGCCTTGTTTATCTCCACACATGTGTGCACACTAAGCCTGAAAGATAGGAGAGACCTAGCGAGCAGCCCCCTCCTTGCTGCCCGAGGAGGCCGAGAAGACACCGCCAAGCAACGGGTGCAGATTCACATGAGCAGCTCCTGCTGCCCAGGTGGATGGGGCAGGGGGACACTGGCTTGGTACTGTGCCCACAGACACACACACCCCTCAAAATCGTTGGGGAAAGAGGTAGGGGGCACACACGCCACCTGCCAGGCACATACCAGCTTCTCAGGTCAGGGAGCTGGCAGATGTGACACGTTCCTAAGCAGGGGCCACCTTGAGCAAACCTTCCCAGGGCCCTCTGGGGACAAGGAAAGAAAGGACATACCTGGAGAACCCCCATGTCCCAGGCTGGCACACAGTGGATGCTCCCTGAGCCAGACCTCCCCCCCACACCCCTGTCACCAGCATGTCCCACCTTTCTTGAACTCCTCCAGCATGGCATCGAGCTTAGTGTCATTGAAGACAAAGTGCAGCGGGTGATTGTAGAAGCGGGTGATGGTCTTGAGCGGGGTGCAGTCGTCAGGGTCCACAAAAGCCAGGTCCTTAACGAAGAGCAGGTCCACAATGTTGGAGCGGTCACCCTCAAACACTGGGATGCGGGTATAGCCACTCTCCATGATCTCAGACATAGTGTTGAAGTCCAGCACAGCCTCAGCAGCGATCATGAAACAGTCTCGGAGTGGAGTCATCACATCCTCCACCGTCTTGGTGCGCAGCTCCAGGGCTCCCTGGATAATGTTGAGCTCCTCTTTAACTAGGTCGTTATAAGGGTCGGTGACCCGCAGCATCTCCAGCAACTTCTCACGGTTGTAGACCGTGCCGATCTCCTGGCCCAGGACGCAGTCCAGCAGCTTGCTGACTGGGTAGGAGGCCGGAAAGGTCATCATCATGAAAAATTTAGTGAGGAAGATGGTGTTGGCGCCCACGGCCAGGCCGTGCCGAGAGCAAATGGCCTGCGGCACGATCTCGCCGAAGATGACGATACCGATGGTGGAGACCACCACGGCCACCAGCCCAGAGCCGGCAATGTCGTCCAGCAGGATGGTGAGCGTAGTGTTGACCAGGACATTGCCCAGCAAGAGGGAGCACAGTAGGTAGTTGCCCTGGCGGCGCACGGGCTCGATGCGCTTGGCGTAGTTCTTCTCCTTGTCCGTGCCGCAGTTCTGCACGATGCGCAGCTCCATGGGGTCCAGGGCCATGAGGCCCAGGTTGAGGCCGCTGAACATGCCCGAAAGGCAGAGCAGCAGTGAGATGAAGATGACCTGCAGCCAGAAGGGCAGCAGGAACTTCTTCTCCTCGCCCACGATCATTTTGGTGTCCTCGCCATCGTGGTAGATCCAGGTGGTCTCGCCCCAGGGCGGGGGCCCCGCGGGCCCCTCGGCGCCCGCCA